AACATTAACCTCACCTTCACGCTAAATAAAAACCGGTATTACTACTTCTCAATCCCCAGATATATCACAAGTTCACAACTCTCCACACAACGGAGGGTAATATCTTTATGCACACCACGTTGTATGCATGGAATATCAATGACATTTGAACGTTGTCAGTCCTTCACTCAGGAGAATATCTGCCTGACCAGTATAATTTCTATTCTGCAGTTAACTCCTAGTAACACTTCGTCTTGGATATCAGCTACTAAAAGATTTTTCGTAGGGTCAAAGAACCAAGTTGCAATTCCAACGTTCCTTTCCTAGTCACATGAATGTTTCTCGTAAGTGTGTTTCCTTGAAGTTTGGGTCTGTTCACCTCACCTCTTTGCGTTGATGTCGTTTTGACAAGGATAGAGTGGTTATCAGGATCGCACGATTTCGAAGTTTCCACCAATTGTAACAACGCAACTGCTGGAATAATTCATAGGGAGATTTTGAAAACTGGAAAGGTACATTTGTACTATATCATTATTTCATGATTGTCTATACCCGGTATTTATATAGAAGCATCCTTGGGTAGCGTAGATTTAAGTTTTGTTCAGAACATGACCCCCAGGGTAGAGTGCGGCCACGAGGGTGGTCAAGGTTTTATGTAGAAATACATAGGAAAATCGTTAAAATTCTTCAAAAGAACAAGCCATAATTGATCATCAATATAAAAGGGTGAAAAATGTATAGATACAAGTTTGTTCAAATACACCCTAGAACCCACTTTTAGTTTTGAACTTTTCAATACAGAACTAATTTTTGCTTTTACCTAGCTGGTTGCTCAGGTGAGGGATTTGGCCCCTTTATATGACAGAGATTTCAACAGATCTAGATTTAAAATAATTCGAAGAATTATAAGTGGCTCGTCTTTCCAAGTCGCTTTGACATATCTCTGATATTCTGGTCTCTTGCAAACATTTTTAAGAAATGTCGTTTTTAGCAACCCCAACTTTGAAAGAATTACAACAGTAACGCAAGGCTTTCCATCCATTGTAATGTCATATAAAGACGATAGGAATTTGTTGATATTCCCAATACTAGTAACTTATGTAGATCATTATTTTTTTTTATATAATTATATAAATTTTTATTAGGTTACCTGAGTAACTCAGGTGACATATTGCTATCCGTTTTCGTCCGTCGTCGTGCGTCGTGTGTTAACATTTGAACATTTTCAGCTTCTTCTCTGAAACCACTGAACCAATTTCAACCAAATTTAGTAAACAGCATTTATGGGTAAAGGGGAACAAAAATTGTGAATTTTATGATCCCCGACCCCCTGGGGCCTGAGGGATGGGGCTAAAACTACAAAAATTATTGCAATCTTTAAAAATCTTCTTCTTTACTCCTGCACATCAAGGCAAATTGTTGGCATGAATGTAATGATCATTGAGTCATCTACCAAAATTGTGAATTTTATGGCCCCAGGGTCAGGGGTTCTAGTGTTAGGGTGGGGCTGTATTGATTATATAGAGAAAATGCATTAATTCTTCGAAGATCCTCCTCTCTGCTCCTGCGTATTAAATAAAATAACCAAGCACAAAGTTATGATGAGCAAGAGTGCCTCTTCAAAAATTGTGAATATTATGACCCCAGGATCAGGAGTTCTGGTGTTAGGGCGGGGCTCTACTGGTTATAAAGTGAAAATGCATTATTTCTTTGAAAAATCTTCTTCTCTTCTCCTGGGTATTAAATAAACTAGCTAAGTACATAGTTATGATGAGTGAGAGTGCCTCTTCTAAAATTGTGAATTGTGTGGCCCCAGGGTCAGGGGTTCTGGTGTTAGGGCGAGACCCTATTGATCATATAGTGAAAATGCATTATTATGTTCCCCAAACGAAGTTTGGGAACATATTGTTTTTACTTTTTTTCTGAATTTTCTTCTCCGGTACTTTTTTTGTCCGCGAGTGTTCTCGTAAACTACTCATCCGATCTCGGTGAAACCTTTTTAGGGTCACTAGGTATGTTATGTAGATGTGCGGAACGAAGGTCATTTTGCGCGCACGTGCGTGCATGTGCGCACACGTGTAACGCGTGAAATGACCAATATGATAGATATAGCCGTGACCTTTTAAATTTTTGATGAAATGCTTTGAAACCCATAATATAAGGATATAATAGTAGTATAGACATGATGACATGGTCAAAATAGCAAGATCTCACGCGCATGCACGTGCGCTTCGTTCCGATTGGTTGAAACAAAAGTCTTTACATCTTTTTTGTTTTCTGACGAAATCCTTTGAAATTTTGAACATAGTCATACATTATGAAGATCTACAGCATGATATATAAGAATAATTGTGAACGCACGCACATGCACGTTAGCTGCGATCTGATTGACTAAAAGTTTAAATGCCTAAAACTTTCTTGGTTCTCAATAATACAGGGTGAAATTTCGAATATGAATAGATATAATGAATGCCTACATTATTCTACCATCAAAAGTAAATGCAAGGACGTCATGCACATGCGCACACACAATGCGTTAAACGACAGTATACTTAAGTCTTTTGATGTTTATGCAGAATTAAGAACTTATAAATGTAAAGACATGTAACATACTGAAGCAGATCTTTTTACCCTTGACCTTGATACTTAGGTCAAGGTCACTAGTAACCTGAATAAAAGTTGATATTAGCTATTTACTAAAATGACCTTGACCTATGAACTTGAAATCGACCTTAACCTTTGACCTTAACCCAAGGGTAGAAAGACCCCCCCCCCTTACATAAAGTAGAGAATCGCTGTAAAGCTCAAATTACACCTCGGACCCACATAACATTTCAAGGAAACTGCAGAAAAAAGCTCGAGGAAAGAGTATTAAAATATTTGATATGAGTTTCCAAAGTATATAGAAATTATTAATATAATTAATTACAAACCCTGTCGTGTTTGAAATTAAAGTACAGATGAACAAAGTTGGTATATAAGCCTTCTATGTTTACATGTATTTATTCGGATGTCGTTAATAGCATTCAATTCTACTGATTTGAAACAATATTTTAATACCAAGCATCCTTTGTTTATTTAACCTTTGAAATTTAATTGATTTTTTTTTTTTAGAATTACGCAATCCCCAGAAATTCAAAATCAATATACATGTACGCTCCTTCGCAAAAAAAAAAAAAAAAATAGGTATTTGCATTCATGAAAAATATATTAATAAGAAGGTCTTAAAGAATATTGGTCACATTAGCTGATACGAATGTCTTTATAAATATCTATTGTAAACCCCAGAAAGTAGCCTCCTATGCATTGGAAAAAATGAATAGTTCCGGTCAAAAACCTTTACATGTATATATTTATTTACATAGTATATAAACTTTACTAGGCACAGGTACCAGAGTTGTCAAAATGACCAGAGAGGAAATATATTTAAAAAAATCTGAACAGATTAAAGGAAAATCCCTTTTCTATGTATGGAACTAAAATTGACTAAGTTCATTTTGATTGGTTAGCCATCGGCGTGATATCCTTAGTCGACTTCAACACTGCCTTGTCGTAGGAATAAAACCATCTTTGTGCCCGAGGTTAAAATCAGTAGAGAATTTAAATGTGAATAGGTATTTCAAAAAATGATATATACTTGAAATGTGGTAACTTTATATCTGTATTTTTTCTATTATTCGCGGGATAGAAGGATGTGTTAATCGCTTAACCAACATGCCATGATCATCTTGCATATGCATGTACATGTACGTGTGCGCCAATGCAAAACGTTAAACGATATATAGTTGATATCATTGTAACTTTTATATCTTTAAATGAAATCCTTAAATACTTAGTATATTTATAAAAGGTGTAACAGGAAAAGCTATGGCACGAGAAGGGACATGGGGAGCGTTTGGGGAACATCTGTAACGGTCCCCTTTACAATTAGCCCTAGTTTCTTTAAAAATCTTCTCTGCACCTGTGTATTAATTAAACTATGTAAGTTCATAATTATGTTAAGCAAGAGTGCCTCTTCCAAAATTGTGAATTTTATGGACCCAGGGTCATGGGTTCTAGTGTTAGGACGGGGCTCTATTGATCATATAGTGAAAATGCATTAATTCTTTGAAAATCTTCTCTGCTTCTGGATATCAAATAAACTATGTAGGTACATAGTTATGTTGAGCAAGAGTGCCTCTTCCAAATTTGTGAATTTTATGGACCCAGGGTCATGGGTTCTAGTGTTAGGACGGGGCTCTGTTGATCATATAGTGAAAATGCATTAATTCTTTGAAAATCTTCCTCTCTGCACCTGGGTTTCAAATAAAGTAAGTACATAGTTATGATAAGCAAGAGTGCCTCTTCCAAATTTGTGAATTTTATGGCCCCAGGGTCATGGCTTCTGGTGTTAGGACGGGGCTATATTGATTATATACTGAAAATACATTAATTCTTTGAAAATCTTTCCTTTGCTCCCGGGTTTTATGCCAATGATCCAAGTATATATATTTATGATGAAGAAAGGTGCAGCTAGCAAAATGGTTATTTTTTACCCCCCCCCCCCCTCTCCCTGCGTCGGGGGGGGGGGGGGGGGGGTACATAGTCTGAAAATAAATTAATGTGTCGAAATCTGCTCTTTGGTATTAATCAACCATTTTATGATTAAATTCGCGAAATTTTGAAATATGTGGCCCCAGGGTCAGTGGTTCCTTTGGGATGAGGTGCACAACTGGTTATAAAGTGGAAGTGCATTTTCTCTTTGTTACTCTGATCAACCTCTGGGTATTAAGTAAATAAGTAAGCATGCTAAGTCTACAATTATGATAAACAATGGTGCGTCTTAAGTTTCAAAATTGTGAATTCATGGCCTCTGGTTTAAAACACGAACCAAACTTAATTGGTTGAAAGTTGTTGCACAATACTCAGGTGACCTATTAGGCCCATGGGCCTCTTGTTCGCAATTAAAGACTGTATAAAACCATTGGTTATCGTTTTTTATCGCAATGACAGTTACGCATATTGAAATAACATTGAAAGAATAACTTTTATAATACTTTATTGGTTGGAAGTATATATCATTTGTACACATGCATGTGCAGTGTAAACCATTAGAAAAAATATATATACACAATGTAAGAGGTTTACTTATACTCCTATTATAAATATCGAAAAAGAAATTGCTAAAGCAATGGTTTAGCAACTATAGATCTTACTACGAAAAAAACAACATATCGAAAAGGAGTATATAAAACCCGCAATGCATATTCTTATGAATGGTGAAATATTGCGTAGAAATAAGGTGAACAGAATCGTGTAATGGTTTAAAGACATTGCCATGTACGATTTAAAGTATGCTTGCTTTTCAAGAAACGAAAAGAAAGATTAAACATCTCTCAGGAAAAGCCCGCATTTTAAAGAGAATGGCTGAAATAAATGTGTGGCTAATGTATCATGAAGCTATTTCTGTCAATATGAATTGAAGGGACACTTTATGGTCATTTTAAACGCTTATGTGTGTATGTTTTAGGAGAAATTTTCGTTTTATGTTAGAATGAGCCAGACATGATGTTTTCATATAGAGAAATCTTCAGAAGGCAAATGATATTCTTTTTTTAAATAGTAAATTGATTTCAAATAAAATATGTAACGGAAAACTTTTTACATTTGGGAAAATCTTCAGAAAGAATGTAAGTATAAGAGACTTGAAAAATGAAATAGCAAATGAAAAACCACGTTCGCATGTTATGTAGCGAACAGTACATGTAAATGAATAATTTAGGATTGTTTAGAGTGGTCTCCGAAAATGAAACATGAGACCAACTCAAATCCAAAAATCCAATTCAAAATGAAACAATAAAATACACATGATGAAATTAAACAACATAAAAGAGAACTGTAGCACCACACAAAGCATAAAACGGAGCAAAACATAACAGGAAACACTTAATTGTTCCAAAAGGAATCGTAGCTGTGCGATAAAAAGAAGTGCTTATGGTGCTTGATCTTGAAGAAGCATTGAAATAAACTACACAGGTATTGACAAAAGCTGACAATTGCAAAATCTCGGACAATGTGCAACTAAAACGTGCTTGTCGTCAACACAAGAAGAGGTAATGCATGAATATCCAAATTGATGATTTCATGACTAAATACTTTGTTATTTACACGTTTTAAAACTACACAGAACTTGAAAATGAAAGAAATATCACAGTGGCTTATGAATCATGATAATCACACTCCTTCAACCCATAGCAGTGTTACTGCGAATGTATGTGGATGAACTAGGATTTGGTCCTCGCCCTGGAGACTGCATCAGATGAAGATTTGTCATGGACTGTCGAACATCTGACGAGAGGAGCTTGGTTGAATATCTCTCTGTTCGCAGATACGCTTGTGAACCAAACAGTGAGGTTTCGAAATCCCCTCTTAATTGATCGAGATCAAGATGTAAATTGTCTGTGTCATATCCGGTTTCGGTAAGTGACACGTCACCATCATCATCAGGGATGAAGATGCTTGAATAGTCCGACCACTCTGCACGCGATCTTGGATTGTACGACATTTTGTCTGAAAAATCAGCACGTGACCTTGGGAAACCTCGCTCTGATCTGCTGTGATCACCACGTGATGTTTTCATTTCCTCTAAAATCTTGGTGTTGACATCTTTTATGGCCTCCGTGACTGCCTCTTCAGCCTTTACGTCTCCTTCGAAATTCATGAAAATAAAACCATCTTTAAACTTGGTGTACAAACACAAATAAAACAACTCCACGCATACCAAATTTTCATACATGTAACTGCAATATTTCCTTTACTAAGCATTGAATAAAGATTTCAAAAAGCAATTGAAATATCTTGATTTATTAAAAAAAACTATTATTGAAGTATCCCTACAATGTATATAACTTGTTACATACCCTGCATCCGTGCGTGTTCTCTGGCTCGTTCAAAGGTGCTGATTGCGCTGGAATAGCTCTTTAGTTTCACTTTTCAAAAAAAGAGGGAAAAAATGAACTAAAATGCCTCTACTGAAAAAAAAAATCGGAGAAATGCTGGCGACATTTATTTATACCTTCTGCGACACCAAGGAGGACAAGAGATTGGAGTTGATAGCTCCATTCCACGGCTTCCTCGGCAGCTTTCAATGAACGATGAGCTGCCTCCATGGCAAATTTATACTGCCCAAGAACAAGGAAACAGTTTCCGATCTCATGGTATAACCATGCCGTTTCCAATCTTGTTTTGCACAAAGGAACTTTTCTGGAGAATCTATTCATTTGAAAAACAAATGTTTGATTAATAGATTGCAATATGAAAAGAACACACATTGAGAAGTACATGTAACAATGATTAACATACAATTCCAAAGCTTGTTGGTGTTTATTTTGGAAAACAAATATTCTTCCCAAGTTTCCAAGCGCTCTCGAAACAGCGTCATCATCGTTACTGCAAAGATAAAAAGGCATATAAGTAAATTCTCACTTGCATGATAATCATGTATATGAAGTGTATTCAGTACAATCAATTATGTGTCGGCCATTGCTCATTAATGCTTCTTGAATACGTCAGATACGGAATAAAATAAACTTGCTCAATCACGTATTGAATAGTTATATTCGCTAATGAATTTTCATAATGGCCAAATAACAATAGAACTTGCATGTGAAAGAATGTAGTTTAGTAAATAAAAAAGTGCTATCCAATTGTACAGTCATGGGTTCAAAACTTACTTCTCTTCTCCAATGACTAAGTCTCTCTCATGATGTTCTAATGCAGTCAAGTAGTCCTTTGTTTCTATTGCGGCGTTGCCAATGTAGCTGTGTAGTTTGGCGACGATAGACGTAATATTTGGCACCTGAATCTCTGAGAACGATTTCAAAGTGTTCAAACAGGACTCTGCTTGAGTGATGCAGTCAGCATATCGACCATCCACGTAAGCTGAAAATCGAAATTGATCATTGCCAGGTAATCATGTTAGTCTTATGTTAATCAATAAGTTTTGATTTTATCTTATTTCCATTTGAAGCCACGTTTGATCATGTTCTTACCAATTTCAATTTCCTCCAGTTCCTTTGCAATGTATATCTGGATTTGTTCTCTCTTGGCAGCTTCTTGTGATACCCGATCTTTCTTGTGCATGGCCTGCATTCTTGAATTATGCAGTGGAACTACTTTCAGCGGAAGTGGAGATTCCTCCTTGATGGGATAAAAAGTACTGGTGTCCTCCAAAGAATGATCTTGATGAAGATCACTAGGCTGTCGGTACGTACTGAAACTGATATTCAGGCCAGAGTCTGTATCAGATGCATTGTGATCTTTGTAACTGTCTTTAGATTTTCTTCCAGTTTTCTTTACTTTCTTTTCCTTTATCTGAGGCTTATTCTGTCGGATTGGCGTAAGAGGTTTCCGACTTTCCAAATTTTCTTTCAGCTGTAACCTTTGACCCTCCAGCACATGAAGAAAACGTGTTTGGTTATTCTTTCTCGCAGTCAGTTCAGAAGCCTTCTTCCTTTCTAGGTAGCGAAACCAAGACTTTGGTTGTGTTTTGTCTTCATTCAGGAGCATATGTTTCCTTGACATTTTGGGTTTGGGGTTGGTCCTGGTGCTAGAATCAGATCTTGGAGATGTGAGGACCGGAAGCATGCTCTGGTTGTCGTGATTGTGACTGGAGGATTTCTCTGCTGGGTTGGTTGGGGCCTCGGGAGGAATAATTCTGCCTTGTCTAACCCAGTATAACACACGGTCATATAAGAAGTCCAGTCCATTTTCTGCCATTGAGTGAAGGTCAACAGAACCAACTGACAGTCCTCCTATAAAATAAAATTATTACAAATATGACAGAACAGGGACTCAAGATTTATCTTCTCAAATTCCCAAGCCACCTCCCATTTCTTTATATAATTTATTACATATGTAAACGTACGGTTTTTTGTTTGAGCAGTCTTTTACTAACAATGAATTTGCATACCTGCTTGTTCCACGAGCTGTTCAAGGTATTTCTTGTCATTGTACATTCTCCCCAGAATCTGTTTCATTCTCTTCTCTGTTACGTCATTGTCGGTCGTCATCACTTCGTCAGAAACACCATCTGTTACCAAGGACTCACGAGATCCTCTTTCGATTTTAACCAATGGATTGTGCTGACGCAGGCGGAAACCGGGAGTTACAGCCTCTCGAACATTCTTTTCTGGCGGTTCCGGAATTAAATTAGCCCTTCTTTTTGCCTCTTTCTTCTGAAAGAAGACAAAGAAATAAAATAAATGTAAAAAAAAATTGAAGATGTTTTCTGTATATAGGACAATTAGCAAATAATACATTATGAACAAACAAGTGCAGCAAAAGTTTTTGCTTCAACCTACCTTTTTTGGAAGGAAGAAAGACATTTCCCCTGCCTTTGCTAGTCTTCTTGTTCGAGCTGAAACAGTGATAAAAGACATCAGATACATATATTCGTTACCGTTTATCACTGTTTTAGTGTGCAGAGAGATTGCAAAACCCACAAGGTCACAAAAACAAAACTTCTATCTAGATACGCTCCAGTTTGTAAATAGTTTGAACTATTATTAGAGGCAGTAATTAAACAAGATGTATTATACATAAGTCATTTAAGTGTTCCTCTTATTATTCATGAATTAATCCAGCCAAAGGTTAAAGCACGGACATAACCGATTTAAACAGGGCAATTGCCCTAATATTAGAACTGTGGATTTAGAAAATCCCTTTTCGACGGAAAATGCAAAAAAAAAAAAACATGATCCAGTGTACAAGATATGATGAGAATTTCTCTAGATAGTTGCCTGTTTGGTAAATGTGGTCATACAGATATTCATTTGTCTGATGATGTTTAATCGTCTTTGCGATTAAAAAATGGAGCAATGCATAATGGACACTGTGCTTAGAAGGAATTAAAACTTTAATATTTATAGCCGTCATCCACTAAAACATACAAAACTGCTTACCGGAATCTGATCTATTTATGGCGTCTTGAGTTTTCTCCAGGCCCTCTTGAAAAGCCTTCATGTCAGGTCGTTGCTTTGACCCCTTGCTGTAGAATACTAGTGCCATCTCGTACTCTCTTTGCTGGAAGTGCAGCTCAGCCTTCTGGTAGAGAGCCTGTGAAATAAAGCATTGCAGAAGATTGCATTTTAATATAATGTTTTAATGCAATATGAAATTTTAGTGTCAAAACAAAACCGATAAAATTGTGATAATTTAAAAATTCCTTGTATCATCTTTTCCGTCTAACTTTTATCTTAAAATTGAAAATATTGATTTTATTATACACTTTTACAGGTTTTTAAGGAAATGTATACATTATTTGAATTTAAACAGAATAAAAATTCATCTTGGCTGTGATTATTATACCGGACCCTTCCTTCAGCGAACGAAGTTTGGGAAGGAGGAGCAGGGTATTGTTACACAGGATTACAGGATTATAACTTTGTCACATGCTTGTCTGCCCTTTTGTCTGTTCATGCAATGATGACCAAGGCATTTCTGGTTACATACTAATTCGTGTTCGGTCAGTAATTTATTTTAGTAGAAAACTTTTTATACTTCCTACAGTATGAACTAAGTTATTTCATGATCTTGACCCTGTCATTTGTACAATGTCAAGGTCATTTATGTAAATATTTTCTGTCCTCACTATTGGCAGGTCGCAGAACCAAAAAAAATCATCTGTCATCGAAAGTACGCTGAGACCTTGATTCGATAACATTTGGACAAACTGTACAGGGTGACCGTTTGTCTCGGGCCAGTTACTTTATTGGATGCTCATGTATTAAACAAGAGTGTTAAGGTACACGTTTACCGTGTTATTTATGACATGAGCATCATATAAGGTCATTTGGGCAAGTTCGAGGTCACTGATAGAAACTGTTAAATCCGCTCTGTATTTTTTAAAGTAGAGATCATTATTGCCTCTTATCTTCAGTATGTTTTGATCTCAATGGAAAGTCATTTGGACATTTTGAAGGCCATTGAAAGATATAAAAATCAGCTCAAAAATATATTATGCTATTTCATTTCGAACAAAAATCATATAAAACAACTAAAAATTTTATGCAGCATGTGATTTCATTTTATGAGCATGCTCAAAATACATCTTTGTTACTGTAACCATAAGTTTCGAAATTTAAACAAAGAATTTAACGATGATTTAACCATAATGTAGACCTTAGCAATTTATATTATGGGATGTAAAAAACTGTTCAGTCATTGTCAACTCAGCATGGGCTGCTGTGGACAAAGACCTTTGGTCGACCAAATGACAAGTCTTAACTCCCCACCCACGATCCTGAGAATAAGGGCTATCTCATAAAAACGTGTTATTTAATATCCCATACTGTTTAATTCGGTGGACATGAATTGATAAGCTCCCGCTATAATGTGCAATGTTTGCCATCTTTTAAACAGTCGATAACGTACTATGATAATCTCTTGGGATCTTTCGATGACACTTCGATAAGAGCTTTTATTGCTTTGATGCGTGACATTAAACATGATTGTTTGATCAAGACTAAAATACCCGAGATCCAGATGTAACGGTTTTTGTTCCATAAATATCTGATCACGAAAATATCGATCACAAATTAAATTCAATGAAATCCGTTTTTCGCATTAATTTTGACAATTTTCAAGGCCTTGATTTTTGTTGCAATGCCATTTTTTGCTGATTGAAACTTAGACCCCGACTTAAACCTTTTTTTTTAATTTGTAAAAAAAAAAAAAATTAAAAATTAATAAATAACACAGTCAATTTTGAGTCTGAAATATCATTTTGATACGTCATAGGAGATTTGTCTGCTATACATGTAAAAGATATAAATTAGTACCTCGTAAAATAAAGGATCTAGATTTAGGGCCGATTCGACATCCTGCATGGCCTTCCGGTGACGTCCTAACAGCTGATGACATCGTGACCTTGCGACCAAAGTGGACTTATCGTCAGGGATCAACTTTAGGGCCTGAAAAATGAAAAAGAGAAGAAAAAAAATAAATAATTAGCAAAACAAAAAAATAATGATTAAGACTTCATAATCATAAAGTATATAAAAAAATATTTAAAAAGTTCTTTGGACTTCAGTTCAATATTCATTTTTGTTGTGAAGATAATACATGTGGAACTATATTTAGTTCGTATCTTTGTATACATGTACTACAGTGAATGAAGCTTTATATATTAATTTCAATTCTTTTTTGTAAAAAATTTTTATAGAAATTTGCATAACTCGTTTATTTTATCATTTATATACCTGATCTGTTGTAATATATGGTTGTCACGAAGAAAGTTAAATTCTTAAATTTATACGACTTGGCAGAAATCGCCGACCTGATTTTTTAAACAAAACGTTCGATGAAGCACAAATGAAAGCGCTATCAATCGCAAATTAACTTGAGCTCGCGCCAAAAATTTTATTTTTCAATTTCATTTCTATTTTACAAGTAAACATTGACAATCCTTTTAATTTTATTCTAATAATTGTTTAGACAGCTTAAAATTTATTGACACGAACACGCAATGCACTCGCAAGAATATGGAAATGGTCTCTTGAGTGAATGTATTGTTCACACATTATTTTGGCAAATACAGTGATTTAGACACTTAAATGAAATTTAACGTCACAAAACTGTTGGCTTTCTCCCATATAGAAAGTAGGATAAAATTAATTTTAAAAAAATTAATTAATTTAAAGTATTGTATCTTGATTTTATATATCTAAATTTTACGGCAGATTTTGTCATTTTTTCAAAAATATTATTTTGAGTTTATTTCTTTCTTCTATGAATTTTGCAATTTATTTCATTTCAGTTGAAAACATTATACATACACTAAAACTTATTTGCATTTCTGTTTGTGCATATAGTAATTTAACCTTAGCTTTTAAGTATTTAAACTTTTGGTCTTTTTAATTTTTTTTAAACATCTAAAAAACTTATCTTAACCCAGTAAACGGTTTAAACAAATGATATTACTTTCTGGATGTATAAAAACATCAACAGACATGAACGAGACTATTAAAGAATTTCAATTTGCTTTGGCTGTAACAATCGTTGAATAAGTCCGTAACTGATTGAACAGTTGAATAAAAATAATTTAGTTAAAGAATTCATTCATTTAAAGCTATTAATCACATAATTTTCTCATGATAAGATGCATGTATATTGTATTGAAACATTCTTAATGAAATATATTTCGATGGGGACTTCTTTGTCCTTTTCTTGGTAAAAATATGAATCCAAGTTAAATTTAATAAATTTTGCCGAGTCGTACAATGTAACTGTACTTTTAACTAGTGAATTAAGATTATACAACTTACATTGAGGACTCTAATATCCCTGTAACCATTACCTAAGAATATATCAAACCGATACATAATTATTCATCGACGCAAGAAATTTCATCAAACTTCTTTTAACAAGATAACGTCTACCAGTTTCAATCTCTATTCTGCATAACCGTGTTTTCCATTCGTCCTTTTAAAATTCATTTTAATTACACTTCATACTTCACCGTATTTTATTGGGCCTTAATTCTTTTCTAATATCATCTTTAATAAACGTCTTTTAAATTTATTAATGTATTTTTCAAAATAGAAAACCCCCGGCCAGTCTCTTCAATTTTCGTCTTTGTTAAAAGGTCAACTGTTTTTTTCTACCGCTTCCAGCATAAACGAAAGATTTGTGGCACAAAGGCTTTTCAAACTAAAAGAAATTGCCTCCAACTTGGATATTATGATCAAATTCACCGATGTTTACAAGACTGTAAATGTATGTTTTGGTTTTATAATCATTATCCTTCTTTTTCTATTACATATGTATTAAGCCTATTCATTATCTCAAAACTCACGGACGATTTAAATTGCAAGGGATTAGTTTCATATGTTTATCTTTCTGAAAATTCTGCCGAGAACGCACATACATGTATAATTTTCTTCAAAAAAGTTTTGAACTTTTTCAAAAACGAAGTGTGCTTATATGATGCACGTCTCACTTTATCAGCAATATAAATGGTTTTTTTTTTTTCAGATGCTATTAAATAGAGCCAGTTAGTATACCACTGTTAAACAAGCAAACAAAGTGGCCCCAGTGGCCCAAATCCTACAGCAAAACTCGTTTAGTACAAAGCAAAATCACCGAAGTTAAACTATATAAATTTAAAATTCCTTATATGAATATGCATTTTACAAAGTATAAAACGTTATAACTAAGTGTATACATGTATTTATTTGCATTTTACTAAAACATTGAAAAGTTGTATACCCAATTTTTATTCTTGAACATTCAGCATTTACTTTCTATTTATGGCGGGTGTGCCCTGTGGACACGGGATGCTTACTCTTCCTAGGTACCTGATCACACATCTGGAATTTCCAGGGTCCGTACTTATGTCCTCTTTATTTTTATTGTTTAAAGAGTTTTTGAGATGGATCACTGCATGTCATCTTCACACTTTTTACTATGTGTGTTATTTAACTTAATCTTTAAGAAAAAAAAATTAATTAGCACAATGAGATTTATGATTGTAAAACCGTATGCATTGCCAAATCATATCAAAAATGCTGTGCTCTCCATTACGGTCTAAGCTAAGGGAGACCACTCAACTATAATTTACTCAAAACATAGGAACATGCAAAACATGATACATATAGTCATTGACTAAGCATCACCAGTGTCTCCTGCAGATATGAATAAAACAGTAAATTCTAAACAAATGAATTTATTTAGAATTTGAATCAATGTAATCTTTTGTTTTTATTTTTTAGTGTTTTTTTTTTAAATATTTAATTGGAATAAAAAGCTGAATGAACCTTATTTATTTGTTATACTTGTAGTTAATTTGAAATTAATATTATTCATTATGAAACAAACCTCAACAGATCTCCGCATATGAAAATTCACCATTTTGATCTACTCCGGAAGAACCTCCGATTGTTCAATATAAATATTTACACAATCCATATCAGCTGATCTTTAATTTAAAGTATTGCAACTTAATTACAAATTCACAACAATTAATAATAGCTGTTGCTGTGCAGCTTAGCGGATTAAACTGTTTGTTTTTCAGTTGCTGCCAAAAAGTTTGCACTAATGTGTTTTAATAGAATACCGGTGAATGTGTCACCATATCAAAATTTTAACTATGGGATTAAAAATTTTGATTTTTATAATATACATTGCCAAGATTAAGTCTTTGAATTGCGCAGAAAATCTTCATGGAATTTCCACTCTGGGAATATAAATTAAAAACAAAAACCAAGTTAATATCCCTTTCTTTGATAATTATAATCACGTGCACGGGACGAAAGGTGAGAGAGAAGTCTATAACTACCTCAAAAAGGATATGTAAAAATAAAATTAAAATTATATTGATATTAGAATTTATCAATGTTTCCAGGTCATAAAACGTCCGTTTTTCTACCTAATTTTGAAACTTGAAAGGTTAACAAAGTTTTTCAGACCAATTCTATTTGCAGCTTTACGCAGGGATTTATCGCATAGCAGAGAGCACAATAGTGTGGTGAGACGACTCAAATATTCTGATTATCAATAAAGATCTTACTCTATCAAATTCAAAGAAGGTCATAAGGTTCTCAACAGTTTTGCATGAAATACGAATTTCTACCAAAGCTCTAAGATTTTGATACTTGTTTTTTTTACTGAATTTCGGTCGTTTCACGAATAATCACCTAACCTTTAACTATGTAAAAGCTTAGCACCTGGGAAGGATACATTCATAAGTACATGTTTGCAAATACAACAAATACCCAAAAGTGTCAATATTTTTATTTGTTGCCTTTGATTTTCTTATTCCGTGTGTAAATTTCTCTAACGGTTGAACACGTTCCACATGTTTGTTTAGCCTATTCTCCGTTACAATTTCCCCTCTTTTATTTAAAGACTTTCGTAACATAACAAAGGATATGTAATTCTAATAAATTTGTATGTATATACCGAAGAAAAATATTAACTTTACATTCAAAGATTACTATAAGATATACCAATAAATTACATCACAAGCTTCATTAACTTGGCAACGGAACTGCATGTATACAAGTAACTATTGATATTCAAAATATTTTCTAAGCTAATAAAACGATTTTACCTCTATGGAATATTTGAAAATATATTAAATTTATAATTATTATAGTTAATAAATAACCCATTTCTCTGGACTGCAGTACTAAAATATGCCTAATATATGATTTACTGTATGTAACTTTAATTGTACTCACGCCATGATAAGATTCCAGCGCTTTTTCGAGCTCTCCCTTTCTTAAATGGTCATCTCCTTCTGTTTTGTAAATCGAGTGCATATACCTTTTCCTATCTTGTTCTTGTTTTTTGCTTTGTACCGTGTTTGCTTTCGGTATCTTCGGCAGCTGTCTAGTGGTTTTCGGAATGGTGGGGATCGCCGGGTTCGAATTGTTACTCTTGCTGGAGGACCCAGACCCTGAGGTTCCAGGGGGACTCTTGACAACCATGATTGGGCCTGGTACCCTCGGAAGTGATCTGGACGGTTTTGGACCCTCGTGGGAAGGTAGGATAGGAACCAAAGGGAGAATTCGGCCATGATGCTTGGATTTCTTAGTTTCAGCAGGCTGGCCCTTTGGAACCTTTGGGAGAGTACGATTGTGGTTTTGCTGTCTGTTCTCGAGTTTTGGAGTTGAAGAACGGGGTCCAACGAAAGACGCTGTCATCATTTAATCAAATACTAACGTAACAAAAAATACGAAATCACTTGTTCAAAAAAATCCTTTGAAAAATTATTGAAACTGTTCCGTTTTTCATTTTAGTCCGCAATCACTCTAAATGAATATTTTCGAAAAGAAAGTCAACAATTTCCTTCTTCATACAATATCACTTAAAACAAAAACGTTTGATCACCTCCGAGGGCTAGAATTTTCTTTTAATATTTTCTTTAGTCTCTAAGCACCAATTGTTCAACCTTCTTCTCGAATTTCTACGTTATCTGCAGAAGGAGTTGGGTGGCCTCGTCCTTGCGCGTGGACACCCATCGCTGAGACTAAAAGGGTAAACAAAGAGAGAGCGCTGTGTACACACGCCGACTCATATTCCAAAACTAAAATGTATCGACTTAGAGAGAAGGGTACCGTGTCGTAACCAGCGGAACTAAATCTTATTACTGTCTTTGTTGTTCAAAATGGGTGCATTTTAAAGATTAATTACTAACCTGTTATATTAAGATTAAAAAGACAAAGTCCATTAAGCTATTGTTTGTCTTACCTCCAATTTAATGACATCGTGGATATTGAGACAAGCAATAAATGTTTTATTAAATACCTACACATCGGTGCTGAATAATCAGATCAAAGTCGGGGTGAAAATTAAAAAATGACAATCAATTTAAAGTACCGTGTAACAACTTTGTATGATCCACAAGTTCATTTAAATTGAGCCACTATCTTATCTACACACTCTATAGAAAACTCACATGTCGCCTCATCCTTCGATTATTCTATCCAGGCTTTTATTCATCTGGACACTTTGAACGGAGGTCGATCCCCATACTTTAATAATAAAAGAAGTTTATATGGTACGTTTATTTAACTCAGTTGGATTTCAAGAAATAGACTTTCTGTGCATACAAAAGATGAAAAGCTGAAATGTAGAAAATCTGAAGTGAAGGAGAAATAGCAAGGCTTCTTTGCGTCATTCATTTTCAATATATCGAGGGGTATTTCAAAAGTTCTGAGAACTGGTGTGCGGTAAATAAATGAACGTCATTATCATGAATTAAATTATATCAATCCCTCAAAATAGTCTCCGTTGACCTGGACACACTTTTTCAGTCTTGAAATCCACGTGGAAAATGCCGCCTTATAGTCCTCTTTCGGTATACGTTTCATACACTGGAATACGGCACTTCCGACTGCATGACAACTTTCAAATCGGCGTCCTCGGAGGGCTTCTTTAATAACGGCATTCAACCAAAAATCGCATGGAGCTAGGTCAGGACTATAGGGTGGATGTGGCAAAACGGCAATACCATTTTCCTTTAAATATTTTGTTACTACCTCTGATCTATGGGCAGGTGCGTTGTCATGGAGGAGCTTTATTCCTCTAGTACCGGTTGCTGGTCGGGCCGTTTTATAGTGTTCTACAACCTGAGACAAGACATTTTCTGCATAAAATTGACCAGTAACACTGCTGTGTTCTGGAACCGGAACTTGAGTAACAGGGCCTCTAGAATCAAAAAATAAGGCGTACATTACTCTCCGGACAGACCGGTTTCTGCGTGCAATTTGAGGCCTTGTGTCATTTTCACCGATCCAAACTTTATTATTGAGCTTGGTTTCCGGTTCAAAAAAATATATCCATGTTTCATCACCAGTAACAATCTCATTTATTCGCCTTTGGTCACAATCTTCATAAATTGTTAGTAACTGTGAAGCCATTTCTACCCGGATGCGCTTTTGCTCTTCCGAGAGAAGATGCGGCACCCATCTAGTGCAGACTTTCCTAAGCTTTAAGTTTTCCTTTAAAATACGAAAAACTGCTGACGAATTAATGTTAGTTAAGTCTGCTATTTCCTCAACTGTATATCTAGCATCATCGGCTATTGTATTTTTAACAGCGACGATTTCTTTTTCACCATATGCACACAGTGGACGCCCCGAACGGGGGTCATCTTCAATTGATTTTCTACCCTCTTTAAAACGAGCTACCCATCTTGCTATTGCTGGATATGAAAGAGCATGCTCTTTATATACTATATCTAAATCGGCTTTTATTTCCGTTGCCGTAAAGCCGAGCAATGAGCGAATTTTGCAATACGCTCTTTGCTCATCGAAAAATTTGTTCTCCTTATCAGTCATTTTTACGCCCAGTATACAGAGTATTCCTGATTATGACGTCATTTTGATCTATACGTCATTTTGAATGTTAAATGACGTCACTACTTATGCATATTGGCCTAGGCTTTACAGTGGTATAAGAGTCATTTTAATCCGTAACGTAGTTAAAATTTTATATGCCAGTTCTCAGAACTTTTGAAATGCCCCTCGTATAAACTTGACCCTTGTATATAATTTATCCAGTTCACAAAGTAATCAAACCTTTTGGATTTGGGCTGGTTTATCGATTACCAATAATATCCTCTTTAGCTACGCTACCTTAACATAACAAATACTGACAATATGATAACACGACATATATTTTCGGACAACCCTCTCACCAATTGTACAGCCTTAGGAACTGTTATTGGAATAAGTTTTCTGTGAGGTTTTCCTCATGAGAGAGTTTGGAAAATGAAATCTAAAAAAAATACACCGACCGCAAAATGTACATGGGAACACTGTCTGGATAAAATCCAAGATCTGCACCCATGGAAAATATTTAGAATATCTCCAACGAATCATTAGTATAGACCTGTATACATGTTTATATGTAGCTCCAAAACAAAAAAAATATGATGAATTTTGCAAATTTATTATAGCTTTCACGTGCTTTGTTTTAATTTTTTCTGGTGTTTTTGTTGCTACCCTTTTTGTTAGAATATACAAAGCTAACTTTGCTTTGAATAAACATGATAAATTTACAGAATGTTTTTCAACTTCATTATCATTTTTGCTGAAGTCTTTTAGTAAACGTGTTTAGTCATTGGTGTAATTTAATCATATAGGAGGTTTATAACATTTGAACTGCCTATTTGCTTATTATTATTTTTTTTTTGAAAAAAAAAGAGATTATTAAATTAACCCTAAAATGACACGCATTCTCTGTCTACATATGTTTTATGCTCTGAACGAGTAGGAATAAATATTTATTAATCACAATGTACATTTAATTTTTTTTCTTTACATAACAAAAATTAGTTATGAATGTAAATAAATCAAATAAAACATCAGTATACTACAGATGGTTAATACTAATAAAACCTGTGTTAGAGAATTTAATATCATCAAAAAGAAAGTATAAAACAAAAACCTTATGCAGTTCAAGTGCTTTTACCGAAGATAAGATCAGAAAAGACCACAGTTTTCTCCACAATACAGTCATTAAGGCAATGTTTCTTTAACATGTTTAAGCAATTTATAAAACATAGTTTTCAGTCAGGGTTTATTCAAGATCTGAATTCCTTTCTAAAACACTTTTTTTCACAGAAGACATGATGAACCTATCAGGTAGAAATAGCGGTCCTATTTTTCTCTTATGGTATATGTACATTACTCCAGTGTATATGCTAGCTTATATAGATATTTAAAAAAATTCAAAACCGGTAATTTCTTATTTTTCCATTATGTCGTCTGCGTGGCGCAGTTTGCACTGAAATCATGGAGTAAGAAGTCGATCCTTACATCGCAGATTCAAATTCCACTTGGAGCTGGAAGTTCCAACAAGTTCCTCATATATAAATGCTTTTGAATTTTGTGCGTTGTTAACATCGTCTAAGACTTGTTTAAAATTGGTATGTTTTATTAAAAGCAACTCTTGAAACAATGCCTTGTCAGGATCCCGTTAAAGCAACGGCCTTGCATTTATTAAGTTCTCAAAATGACTTGTTGCAATGGGTGCTTGTTTTAAAAAATGATCTAGAAAGTTTGCCATTTCATATCTAAAGAAGACAGACAGGTTCAGTTTTTTCATTTCATGGTTTTGAATTTTTCAATATGGTTTCTAGGCTGAGAGTCAGTACAGTCTTCCGTTATACATAGTTCAAGTTTTTTACAGTCTTCGGACTATACATGTACATTTCCTCTGAACAAGAGAGAAGACAATGCTTTCTGTTACAACAGTAATAGATTGACAGAAACATATTCGCATACTACTGAAAAACTGACATAAGGGACAATATGGGCCCACAAAAGGCTGCATATGCATGTAAACATACAGGTAATATGGGACTGACTTCACCCTTCTTCTAGACCATAAACCACTTGAATGCATTTTTTCTTCTAATCCTAAGACACAGCAAGTACTAGAATACATGAACGGACTAAGTGGATATTATGAGGAAAAACAACTAATGTTGATCTTATCCAAAGTCTGAAGAAAATATACATGTATCTATCTAAGAGAAAAATCTGTTACCATATCGACATTTCATGGAGCCACCCGAGGAGCTCCGAGTGACTGAAGGGTACCCTTCTCTTATCTTGCTATACCACTGAATAAAATTTAATGATACTTTCACAGATTCTTTATAACATGATGCCATTGTTCAACTTCTATTTTTACTTTGTGATCTGACATTTACTTAAGTACACCTTTGTTAAGAAGGATATTTGGGTAATAGATGGTGAGGAAGAGCAATAATTTAAAGTAAGGGCTAAATTGTGTGGAATAAAAGAGTAAGAAAGCTTACAAAACGAAAACTACTGTAGTAAAAACAAAATTTTGGCCACAGACCCTGAAAAATTGCAAGAATATTTGTGGACATCAATCAAGTTACCCATCTGTCTTCATGCTGTTAACTTTTTTTTTCAAGCTAGAATGTGTGAGCTCGTATCCCACAAACGAAGACAGTTTTGACCGTGTCTTAGCAAAACTGTATTTATAAATGATATTCCATGATGGGTATTTTATTTGCTTATACAAAACAAATATCCCCAAAGAGATTGAACACGAGAAAGAGAGAAAAGATCCTAAATTAATTGTTTTATCATTGACAATAGCAAACAAATAGTCCTGTTAAAGGAGGTGGATAGGTAAGGGGTAAATAAAGAGATGGTGTTGAATAGTTTAGAGAAAACATTCTCTCCGAAGGCCCTCGGAGGGGATGTTTTCTCTAAACTATTCAACACTATCGAGTTATTTATCTTACTTAAAAAATTCCCTACTTTGGGCCCCAAAGAAATATTTACCCATTCAAATATCCAACTTTGCTGTAATACAATAGGATGTAGCCCATTTAAATATCCAACCGTGAGACATGACAAAAGCCTAATCGAACACCCCTTTCATTCATGGACTAGTGAGCATGAAACTACACAGTGCTGATGTCATTTCAACCCTTTTCATTGTACTGAACAGTCATGAAATCAGACGTCGAGTACATTGTATTTCTAAATCCAAAGTAAATTAGAGAAGTTCAGATGGTGTTTTGAATGCTTTTGACCTGAAAGATGAAGAAAACTACAGAATTTTGATAAAAGGTTGGGAATTTGTCATTACATATTATCATTTTACAAACAGCGTGACAGTCTGCTTGATGGGGCGTGCTAAAATTTTGTGTGCTTGTTATCATTTTGCTCATCGATTGGATCAATGAAATCAATACTAATTTGCATATGAGACTCGGAATACAACAATAGCCTGATAATACTGACCAATTACATTGAATGATTGTTTACCAGTACGGCATTTGTAGTCAGCAGCAACACGTGGTCAGTCAAAGCCCGTTTTCTGTCCTCAAAGAAGCATGTATTATATTTGTTGTGATTTGACCGCATGGGTTTTTAAATACGTATAAGAAAATTAGTGAGGCTAGTCTACTTCTGTTGTACTTTATATGTACGTTGCTCTATCAATATCATCATTATAGGAAGTAAAACTTGCTTTGTCCGTTCACGTGTTATTGTTGTTTATTCAATGCGATTGGTCAGGGTTCTGTGTTTCTTATGCAAAGTATTATTGATTCCATTGAAATCAAACATCCAATCGATGAGTAAAATGATAATCAGCATACAAAAATTTTAGCACGCCCTATCAGGCAAACTGTCACGCTGTTAGTAAAACGATAATACTATAAGATGATGGTTTGCTGAGGAAAAGTGTTGAGTTCATATGGAGTTCCATTCGGACAATACTTGTAGTAGTGCTTAAACAGATAAAAGATTGGCGGTGTTATGCGGAACCTGCTTTAAAAACATTCCATATCAAGATCTGCAATACATGTAATAACGGTGTCGAAAAATGGATGGGCTGTCAATTAATTAAGTTGTTTTGGGATGTACTGCAGAAAAGTATGAAACAGAGATAAATCTCGGATAATCTGAAGGGATTTACTGATAACGGACCCTGAAATAATATACAGCAATAAGAAGTGATGTTGTTTAAGATTCAAGGTGAAAATGTATTTATGTGTTAAAAAATGTTTAAAATGTGTCAAGAAGCCCGAAAACATTTTAAATATGTGCAAAATTCGGAGGAATTTTATTTCTGTGAGCATTGGAAGTGCATTTGAAACACGATAAATGTGAAGTAATACTGCAGTAATTCCGTGTGCACTGGAAATTAATTGTAATAGTGTGGCAAATTTGGAGTACTTATTATTTTTCATGTGCATTGGAAATACATTTAAAAATTGTTTTACCTCTTTTGTTCATTGTTTATTGTTTTATGCACCTCGGTTGGATATTTGAAATATCCAACCGATAGGCAGTTGGATATATGAATATCCAACTGATGGCCAGTTGGATCTTTAAATATACTGCTGGTTGAATCGGTAAAATATACGTAGACTTATTACAATGGGTGACGTCATAGAAGTTTTTTTAATAGCCATTCTCTGTAACCACTCGAACTTCGTTGCCACGCATGGTCACCGATTTTGATGAAACTTCACCCATGCTTAGTACTCGACACCAGAAACAAATATCAAACAAAATTTCGTTGCTATGTGTCTCGGTTGCTATGGCAACAGGCGGAAAAGTTTGAAAAATCGAGATTTTCAGTCACTTTAAATCTTGACTGTGGCTTAATAAAAACTAGAAAAAGGAAACAAACCATTCTCACAAAAACATGACACCTTGATGTCACTTATACTGTAAAGAAACTGTTTAGAATATATCTCTAAGTAAGTGGTAACCAAGGGTACATTTGGAATACATTTAAAATGCTGAAATATGCTGAAAAACACTCCGTATTCACTAATGGTAGGTGTTATATGCTCAAACTCAATCAACGACACAAGAAAAACAACGAAAATATTTGACCTTAAGTATATAGGTATAAGCAATATTATTCTATAAATAACTTTTATGGTTGCCATGGTAACACAGTGTAACCATGCAAAACTAGTAACTAAGATTGGGTTAATGCTACTGTCTTGAGGAAAAACATGAAAATTGAAGACTGGCAAATATGCATCCTTAGGACCTTTCAACACCAAAACCATAAGAAAAAATTGGGTATAATTACTACTTTGCAGTGTTACCATGGAAACAAAGTACCAGTGCTTGAAAGTGAATTATTTTTCACTGCATTAAGAATTAAATTGCCATTTAATCAAGTAACAAATTAAAGGACTCAGCTTGAATAGTAGTTATCTGTTAGAACTGAAGTTGAATATCATATATTGATAAAATTTGATGAATAAAACAACACTGTTGCTATGGTTACCAAGAAGGGAAAATGTTCGATTTTGTGAACTTTATATCAATGTCAAACCCTGTGTGCCAACTTCTTGCATCCACTTAGAGATTGGATGATAGTCAAAATTAAAAGTCAGGTAAGCTGTTAATAAATATCAATCATAAAAGTTTTGGGAATCTACATTTAAGGGTACGTATCCAAGGAAAGAAAATATTTTTAAGGTTTTTAAGCATATATTTTCTGCTTATTTCCATAGCAACGCTCTAGTTAAAGAATCTAATCTGAATTTTTTCACATGGGAAAACTAGGAGCACACCAAAATCTTTTAAAATTGATCATTAGTTATGCGGAAGTGTGCTTTTTTAAAAGATAGGATCAGATTTAAACATACAGAATGTTACTTTGAAGGCTCTCTGTGGTATAAAAACCTTGGCAACCATTGCCAACCAAAATGAAATATCATATTTTGTTCTTGGTATATGTTTCAAGGCTCTTTTTTCTGTTATTTGGTCACATTTCATCCTATAATTGCTTTTTATTTTTACGTGTATGACTTTATAAAATTCAATGAATATTTTTTTTTCTTTTGAATACTTTGTTACCATAGTAACGTATGTAATAGTTGATTTACCAAACATGTTTATCATGCATTTGAGACATCTGACCTTTTAATTTTGGAAACAGTCATCGCCAATAGTTTGCTTTGCCGGAAATGTTAACTATGAGGCTCTAAACATGTTAAAAAATGCCATTTTTCGAACTTTAAGACATGTTGCCATGGTAACTATAAAGCATAGCAACCAATTTTTGCCTGATTTCAGTTTAGGGTATCAATGACTTTTATCATAGAGAGTTTGGATAAATTCTGAGACTATGCGTGCCACAGCTCCTATATAAAATTTCAAGTCATTACAGAGAATGGCTCTTAATGTCTATCGGATCGAATGTTTTTTAACAAACAAAGGATCGAAAAATATCCTAGATTTTGCGATATCATAAAAGTGAAAATTATCTTATATTTATATTAATTCGATGTCGCTGAAAAGCTGAATATCCAGGCAATAAATATATCCTGTAAGAGGTGACTGATAAACCACAAAAAATATTTGCTTTAATACGCTCAGTTGCTACATTTGAAAACATAATAGAAACTAGAGGTTATGTGAGCAATAAGCTCACTACATGATACCCCCGCATCCCATATGAATACCGATATAATGGCAGTGTCCCTGTTTTGCTGTGGAATACCTAAAATATGTGTCGGATCAAAAAGAAAAATAGGAGGCGCACAGTGGCAGTATGTAATAAATATTCTGAACGTCTCATCAAATTTCATTCAGTGGTATGAGAGGAGTTGCGGATAAGAGATGGGTACCCCAAAGCGTAACAGAAGGACGGGGGTATAACAAAGATCATGAGTTATTTACAATTGTCAGTTTTTGTCGTTCGATCAAAATGAAGGGAAGTAAATCCATCTCATGCAAGAGAAACAAGAGATTTAAAGTACTTGTCGATATCGATAGTATAAAAGCAATTAAGCTTCTGCATTTCTGTGTTAGTGTAAAAGCATATGATACAGAAAAGTAAAGCCAAATTTATTGACCTTTTCCTCAAATATGAAAGAAGCATAAATGGTCATGAATACAGTTTAAAGCTTCCTTTGTTAAGGGAGGTGAGTTACCCTGATTAGTAAATTTTATGATTTACAAAAAACATTACAGTCATTATTTCCGAACAAAACTGATGAATGTTAAGGCATTGACTCAAGTACACGGATATTGGAAATCCAGTGTGGAAAATCAGAAAATTTTATAAGTCATGAGGCTTTACGGTTACGTGATGCTGGTATTAATAGGTATGTATCGTTTTATATATTTTCCAAAATCTCGTGAACTTTTACAATATATAGTAGGAAAACGTTAGTTAAAGTCACGTGTATTGTAGTTATTATACATGTATATATACACAGCCTTTTTCATTTAGAAATCCATGGCATCCTATGTTTGAAAGAAACAGACCTAAAGCGGAATCTGCTGGCCCCTGGTGTATATGACAACACGGTTCGACCGCGCCTCAACACCAGCCAAACAGTGCACGTAAAGATTGGAGTAGTCAGCATATACGTCATCGGAATAGTGAGAATTACTCAATACGCAGAATGCGTATACAGCAGAGCGAATGTTCGCGAGCGCTCGCAAAAATTCCTTTTACCTCCTAGAGAAATGTTTGCGAGCGCTCGATCTGTTGAACGGGCCTCAGTTGTGATCATACAGCAGATTCTGACAGATTTTGTTTTTGGTTGATGAGAATTGGTTGACTTGACATTCATACGGTTCACTGTTGTTTCATTTTCGGTTTGATAAAATGCATTTTTGATTGATGATTACCTTGCAATCTCATCTGGTCTCGAACTTCTAATCTGTATCTCAAACAAAAATACAGATTCATATTAAGTAGGCCAGGACTAATGGAATTAACATTAGTTATTTTTTTCCGAAACTGGATAAAAACTGCATTTCAAAGTCATGGCTTAATAATCTTTGAGCTACCTGGGTATATTCTTTCATTAGTGCTCAACCGCTTACTATTGATGTGGATTCTCAAACTCTGTTTAAAACACTTGATGAGCTACGCTAAAAACGATTAAAAAATTACCGAATGTGGTATTCTTTTAAGATAAAAGAAACTTTAAGTATCAATTATTATTTTTGCCAAACAATAATGTTTGCATTGAGCATAGTTGATCTAAAACAAATGGCTTGCGAAGATGGCGTGTCTTTAAAGAAGTATCTTCATGTTTACTTTTATTATATTTTCTAGAATGAAAAAGAAAGTTCCTTTTCTCAAGCAATAAGATTGGATGCCGTAAGTGTTTTACTTAATATGCAAATGATATCAAAAGAAAGCTTACGTTGAAGACAAATTTTATCCCCCAAAAGTAGCAATACCATGAATGTAAGCAAATGAAAATGAACTTACAGAGCTGGGAGGATGAATTTCTGAGATGGAACTCCAGTGAGTATGAAGATTTGGAAAGCGTGGTTGTTGACCCGTCAACTATATGGACCCCGGATATCTACATTTTTGGGAGGTATTCATTTCACTTGATAAATGATGAATTGTAGGAGCTTCTTTGAGTACTAGTTTGTAACAAAAACAGATATGCTGACTTAATCTCTGATTCATGATTTGAAGAAACAATTCCTCTAAGAAGCTCTTTGATCAAACCGTATTTCTGTTTTAATAGATTTTTTTAAGTATGATAACATGGATTCGAGAATAGTGTTTACTTTTTAGCTAGACCATTTGGTTTAATAGTCTTCTTTTCTATGCGAATGTAGAAACATGCTCTGACGCAAAATAGTACAATTCTGTCATCCTTGAACTTTCAATAAGGTGTGGCATTCTCGACGCTACATCATTAACGTCTCTCATTTGGCGACACAGATTCTCATTGGTTAAAAAATTAATAACGTTAGGAAGTTTAAATTGTTGTTGATAACAATGAGACGAGATAAGTCCCACCTCTTTGTCTTACGAAACGTTATCATTGTATCCTTGCTTCACTCGTTGACATTCGCCCGAATTTCTATCCCTTATACATTTCAACAGTGAATGAAAAAGCTGTGTAAATTTCAGACACTAATATGTACCGTCGGAAATACCGCGCCTTACTAAAGGTCCAATGATAACAGAAAATTGTTCCAGACAATCATCGTTACTTGATTATATTATGAATGTTTCATTTTAATTTGATTCGCACACTGATTCCCTGATCTGTAATTTTGATTATCAACATTTCTTCATCACATCTTACTCAAAATATACTTTGAGGATGTCTTCAAATGGAAATATTTTAAATTTGTAGAATGGAATCTAATACAGAATTAAAGTTTAGTCGGACACGTGTCCAATCAACAGGCTTGGTCAGTACAATGTTTTCGGGAGTTTTGACCACTCACTGCATCATGGACTCCGCCTACTTTCCTTTTGATTATCAACTTTGTGACTTCATGCTAGGATCTCAAGTATACACAAAGTCAGAACTCGCAATAGATATCATCTCAGCAGGAATGACAGAAGATAATAAAAACAATCCTAATTGGCTTATGGAACATATAAAAATCAACAACACCAACCAGGAAATCTACTTTTGTCTCAAACGGAAGTCGGTTTATTTCACAATCCTATACATGGCCCCAACTCTCATGCAAGCAGTCTTAATTCTCCTCTCATATGTTATTCCGAGTGAAGCCGGCGAAAAAATTTCCTTCGGAATGTCTCTTTTCCTTTCCTTTATGGTATTTCTGTTGCAATTAAATGGTGACGTACCAGAAGTCTCGGCCTATGTTCCTGCATTAGGTAAGTATGATTATGACTGACAGTCATCAGTATGAATACTTTTACATTGCATAAACCATTCAAATGCTATTCTTTAGTTGAGATCTTGAGATAGTAAACTAATAATAAGTACAAATGAATAGGAACTTTTTTGTTTTCCGAGAATCAACTTCACATAGTATGCTGAATATTTAATAAGAGACTTTGCTGCATGTTCATTAACATTATAAGATGTATATTTACAATTTCTTTCACAGAGGTGGTCATTATGCTTCACATGTTGAGCGGGGTTGTATCTGTTGTCATATCCTCCATTACGGCTTACGTAACACACAATTCTAGCCAATCACAAGTCACTTTGTCCAGGGTCAATCCCTTATCCTTGGAAACTGGCAGAAAGAATGAAAAATCTAAAAAGAAAAGGATAAACAGCATTTGTGCACGTCTAAAATCTGGGAAATACCTTAACCGCATTGGATTTATCACGTCACTTATTCTTATTCTGACAGCAAATTTAGTGATGATTTGTGCTAGATTAATTTCTACAGGTTGTTCCAAACCTGTATAGTACGATTAAAAAAAACATCGTAGCTTTCAAATAGTTAAATATGTTATATTTAGAAAATGATTACAATGTGCACGTGCTGTCATCTGAGTGTTTATTTCAGGTGCAATCTACGTGTGTCATAATCAGATATTTTCTTTCAAAATGTACGTACTTGATGTTTGCTACGTCTCCGTCGAGGCGTATTATGACAATCGGGCACGCGATTCCGTTCGAAGCGTTGTTATTGTAAATAAAAATGGCGGCTAAGAAACAGTTTATGTAGGTAGTTTAGTTAAATTTCTTGTCATTGTTATTGGATTAAAACTTAATATTTTCATAATATGCACAAATATTTTTTTTATATTGAAAAAGGTCTTCAGCGGGATAAATTCGTTACACAGTCAGTTAGTGACCTAATACGGATTCATACAGGGTGTGAAATGGAAATCCGTATTGGGCGAGGCGAAGCCGAGTCCAAATACGGATTTCCATTTCACACCCTGTATGAATCCGTATGATGACTGTGTAACTAATAATATTCGTATATGTATTTTTATAATTACACAAGGTTAGCTTTTTCAAAAAAGCTGAGAGTCAGCCACTGGAATACAGAAAGTTCTTTCTTGTTTTTTAATGGTTTATGATTTGATCTATCCATCATGTTGTGTTCCTTAAATGTAATAAATGCCATTGAAAGAAAAGTTAAATTTTTGTAATCGTTTTCTTATTTGTAACATAATGCTGTACATAAATAATAAAGCATAGAATATTTTTTTTTAATTCTGCATCGTGATTATTAAATAAATCAATAAATTCTCTTCGGCGCAGACATCAGAGAAAGTTCATCTTATACCGGTAAATGAACAAATCCACCACTGCAACTAAGATCACGTTAAATTCTATAAAAATGATATAGATTATGATGAATAAAAGGAAGGTAGACTTTTTGTTAGATTGTTCTCAAATATCATTAAATAACAGTTTTTATTTGTGCATTTCGAGGCAATGCATGATGGGGGGGGGGGGGGCATACTGCATGTATATTTAATTCCATTTCTAAGTTTGAGCATCCATTTCCGTGTTATTAGGAAAGAAAAGAATTGCATCCAAATAAGTAATGAACGCTACGGAAAACAATTTAAAATGGAAATTCAAAATATGTTTAAACATGCAGTACGTACGTATCCATGTACATAAAATGTCTTTGATGATGTCTACCATCATAGCAAAACTAACTATACATTAAAAACTGGAATCCATTTCCCCCCTCTCTCCTTTCATGGGGGGGGGGGGTTGACCCTGTCTATAAATCAGTACAGTTCTCTCAGCTATCGCATTTCCACTGTGGTCAATTTCTCACATGTGGGCGCGGTTCAGGTGCACAAGCGGCACTTACACATCTATCATCATGTAAATTATAAGAATTTACTGTCTTACAGTGGTCTTCTGATGTATTCCTAACTTCCATCATTAGAGTGAAAAGAAATTGATCTTTCTTTTTTTTTTTTTTTTTTTTTTACTATTTTGGGACCTTTGTGGTAAGTGGATTGTTGTGTGAATTCCGACCCGTACATGTCTTATGCAAGGTATTGAATATTGATTGAGGGAGTCTGCATCAGGCATCCAGAGGAATACACAATTTAATCTTTGGCTTGCAATGGCGATTGAGGGAATAAATGTACCTTATCTTCTATTAGAAGCACTGAAATATTTTCATACTATCATTTAAAAACTAACAAATATCCCATCTAGAAGCTGAACAGTCTATGTCATTAATTTTCGTCGAGAACGACGAAGAACAATAAAGTCTATAAATAGATCGAGGTCGTCAGTGTGCGTGAAGAAATTGTGAAATCTTTTTCCCAGAATTCCGATTAACGCAAGCGCACTTGCAGTTTCATCCTAACGTAACTAGTCAGCCCGGGGGCTGACTAATCATTGTGCGCTTGTACTTTGATACGCAGAATATAGAAGAATTCTGAGTTAGTTATAAATATCGGCATAGTGTTTCGAAAAAAAAATATCATACGATTTATTTTAAGTGAACATGTATAAGATTTTAAGATTTTTAGAAGTCGGGTGAAAAATGTATTATCATAAGTAGACTCTTGAAGAAGAAAAAGAAGGAAAAAACCCAGACATCCTTCGATTATGTTAACGTTCTGGGCTTTTGCAACATTATAAAAAATAAGAAAGAAAGACACTTTCCATTTGAAACAGTGGTAATTTTCTTAAAGGGATATTTTAATTTAATGCAAATAAAAATTTACCAATCTTCATTAAAAACACTAAGTTTACTCATTTGATGAAATGATGCTTTGTTTGACACGTTAAAGATTTCCATGCAATATAGCTACCATTTCAGAGACTGGCACTATTTGCAAAGCACTTGAATACCATGAATTATATAATCCATTATCCCGTGAAATTTTCTGTTGAAAAATCAGCATTTGCAACTTTTGCTATTATAGGAAATACAGAACGCTACCATATCCAATTATGAAATAATTTTAAATAACAATCCATGAGTTTATTGAATTTATAGTCAAAGAGGCTTTGTAGTGCTAAAAAGCAATGGCAGTCAACAATAACAAGTTCTTTCGTATATACTTACTGAGGTTTTATTAGAGGCTTTTGGATTGAATTTAATAAAATTAATTTGTACTTTGAATCATTAACATTTTCTTTTGTTTACATGTACATGTAGTAATGTAAAAAAAAAAATCAGGTCTATTTACTATATTTTTAGGTCACCTGAGTAAACTCAGGTGACCTATTGCTATCCGTTTTCGTCCGTCGTCGTGCGTTGTGCGTTAACATTTGAACATTTTCAACTTTTTCTCTGAAACCACGGAACCAATTTCAACCAATTTCGGCATATAGCATCTATGGGTAAAGGGGAACAAAAATTGTGAATTTCATGGTCCCTGCCCCCCTGGGGCCTGGGGCCAAACCCACTAAAATTAGTGCAATCTTTAAAAATCTTCTTCTTGACCCCTGGACATCAAGCTTTCAAATTGTTGTTATCGGCATTGAGTCCTCTACCAAAATTGTGAAATCCATGGCCCCAGGGTCAGGGGTTCTAGTGCTAGGGCGGGGCTATATTGATTATGTAGTGAAAGTGCATTATTTCTCTGAAAATCTTCTTCTCTGCTCCTGTATATCATAAACTAATTAAGTGCATAGTTATGATGAACAAGAGTGCCTCTACCAAAATTGTGAATTTTAGGGCCCCAGGGTCAGGGGTTCTGGTGTTAGGGTGGGGCTCTATTGATTATTTAGTGAAAATGCGTTAATTCTTTGAAAATCTTTTGATCTGCTTCTTGGTATTAAATAAACTAACTAAGTACATAATTATGATGAGCAAGAGTGCCTCTTCTAAAATTCTGAATTTCATGGGCCCCAGGGTCAGGGTTCTGGTGTTAGGGTGGGGCTCTTTTGATTATATAGTGAAAATGCATTAATTCTTTGAAAATCTTCTTCTATGCTTCTGGGTTTTAAATAAACTAATTAAGTGCATAGTTATGTTGAGCAAGTGTGCCTCTACCAAAACTGTGAATTTCATGTCCCCAGGGTCAGGGGTTATGGTTTTAGGGCGAGGCTCCATTGATTATATAGTGAAAATGCATTAATTCTTTGAAATCTTTTTCTGTGCTCCTAAGTATTAAATAAACTAAGAACATTGTTATGATGAGCAAGAATGCCTCCACCAAAGTTGTGAATTTCATGGCTAAGGGTCAGGGGTTCTGGTGTTAGTGTGGGGCTCTATAATGATTATATAGTGAAAATACATTAATTCTTTGAAAATCGTCTTTTCTGCTCCTGGGTAATAAGCAGATGAACTACCTATATAGATATGATGTGCAAAGGCTCTTCTTCCAGAATTGTGAATTTCCAGGATCCTGGGTTAGGGATACCATAGGAGGGGGCCCTACTTATATACTGAAAACGAATTGTTTGAAATCCGCTCTTTGGTATTAATCAAATATTTTTGATAAGCAAGTGTGCCTTTTCAAAAATTGTGCAATGTGTGAACCTAGAGTCAGGTGTTCATGTGTGGTAGGGGCACTTCTGATTATTGCTGAATGTTACTGATTAGTTGATATGCATTTTTGTTCCTCTACCCTGGTCATTAAGGCGGCTTGGGGGTCAACAAATTAACAACAAATTAACCACCAGATATAACTTAGATTTTTAGAGATGATATCTTTTGCTGTCAACGATCATTTGACAACGAAAACATACATATTAGTTTTAAAATTTGATTATTTTTGTATATCTTTATATTGAGCTCTTCTTCTAAAGGAGATCGAAATAGTCTAAAAATGGCCATGACCACCCAGCCCCTTTAAGTAACCAAACTTAGCAATTGCTAAGTTTATAGGCAAGTTATGATTAGCAATGGTGGCAGCCTCTTTCAAAATTGTGAATGCCATAGCATCTAACTTAAAACATGAACCAAATTCAATATTTGAAAGTTGTTTCATGATTCTCAGGTGACCTTTATATATAAAGCCCATGGGCCTTTTGTTATGATTTGTAGTTAGTTGATACATTTTTATTGTTTCTGTATCATATAAATAAGACTGAAATAAGACAATTTGATGATCTAGTTCAAAATCAGCAAAAATACTATCATTGCTTGAAATTTTATAATTAAAATTGTGGAAGACCTAAAATTGTACACGCTTACATGCACAACAAAGATCAGCTGGACGAAAGGGAAAACCGGACACTGAGAGATTCTCCCCAGGATGCTAAGGGAATTGGAGAAACAATTTTTTCTGGGCATTTGCTTAAATACAGTTAAAGTTCAGCTGTATGCATACGATTCTGACTTTTTTATTATTATATCAGCTTTAATAATCCATAGTTCAGGCTACATATTGTTTGTGATTTTTATGATTTGTAGTTAGCTGATACATTTCTTTTTGTTTCTATATCATATCACCATGAGTGAAATAAGACAATTTGATGATCTAGTGTCAAAACTTGGTGTTTATGAGTTATCAGAAGTTTCC